AATTGAGTGTGGGAAACTTCAAAGACCCAAAGCATCGAAAATGGTTAGTTGAGCAGTGGTAGGACTTTAATGCTGGGTCAACTCATATTTTCACTATATCCCTTCTACCCACCCCCTACCCTCAGGGCAGTAGGCAGTATGGGTTCCTTGGGTAGTTTACAATCTATCCTACATATTTGTAATGATGTTTTCGGCCTGAATCATATATAAATGTGACTTTGTATAAAAGATGTCTACTGTCACTCTCCACACATCATTTTGCCTATCATTACATCAATCCTTCATGAATATTTCTAAGCTTTTAAGCTATTATAATGGATGTATATGGGTGTTATTCCAGGTCTCTGATCACATCACAGGCTTGTCATGTTGGATATCTCGACATAATGTGCAAATCTCGCTATTAATATTCATTCTTTATCTTTAGACTCACTTACTGCACACATGTATTTCATTTGTCATTATTGATGTTTTGGATTTCTTTAGCTTATATCTTGGTCACATGGTCACCAATGGACGAGAAAAGACTACAAATAAACTCACCTAGACTCGGACTACAACCTTGATTAAGCTGACTACTGATTCCCAGATACCGAGTATCAAAACCAAATACTGAGTACCAATTACCATGTACCAAGTACTGCGTAATGAGTAACAAGATAACCAATTGACAAGAAAAGACTACCACTACACTCACCTGGACTTGGACTACAACCTTTGGTAAGGAAGTTAAGCATAATAACAACTTTCATTTTTTCATTATTGCTGATGTTTTGCTGAATGACAAGGAAAGACTACCAAATCACTCACCTTGACATGGACTACAACTGTCATTTTTCATGATCATTTGCCTATATTGACTACCTAGTCTCGAGTACCAACCACTGACCACCAATCACCGAGTGCCAAGTACCGAGTACCAATAGGGAATAGTGTGGGTGAACCCCGGGGTATGAGTAGCACTACCCCCACCCATACCCCATGATATACCCACACCCACCTTGTGGGTGTGGGTTTTTTGGTGGGTATCAGGGAGAAACTACTGAGTCTTGAGTACCAACCACTGACCACCAATCACTGAGTGCCGAGGACCGAGTACCAAGTACCGAGTCCCGAGTCCCGAGTCCCGAGTCCCGAGTCCCGAGTCCCGAGTCCCGAGTCCCGAGTCCCGAGTCCCGAGTCCCGAGTCCCGAGTCCCGAGTCTCAAGTCTCGAGTCCCAAGTACCAAGTACCGAGTACCGAGTCCCAAGTACCAACCACTGACCACCGATCACTGAGTGCCAAGTACCAAGTACCAAGTCCCAAGTCCCAAGTCCCAAGTACCGAGTACTGACAAATACAATTCCCAGGTTATTTGAGCCCTACACCAATGGATAATACATACAAATACAATTTGTGTCCATTTGAAGTACCGGGTTTCAGGTTTTGACACTCGACACTTGGTGATTTGTGAAATGAGTGAAAAATGGACATATTGTGTACATGATTTTGGGTTTCGGGCTTTGGGTCTTGGCCCTCGGCACTCGGAACTCGATGATTTGAGTAATGTAAATGAAAAATCAACATGTTGCATGCCGGGTTTCGAGTTTCGGGTTTCAGCACTCAAAACTCAGTGATTTGTACAGTGAGTGAAAAATGGACATGTTGTGCACATATTTTCGGGTCTCGGGGTTCGGGTTTCGGCCCTTGGAACTCGGAACTCAATGACTTGTGTAATATAATTGAACAATGGACATGTTGCACACCAGGTTTTGAGTTTCAGGTTTCAGCACTTGAAACTCGGTGATTTGTGCAACAAGTGAAAAATGGAAATGTTGCATACATATTTTCGGGTCTTGGGCTTCGGGTCTCGGCCCTTGGCACTTGGAACTCGATGATTTGTGTAATGTAAATGAAAAATTAACATGTTGCATGCCAGGTTTCAAGTTTCGGGTTTCAGCACTCAAAACTCGGTGATTTGTGCAATGAGTGAAAAATGGACATGTTGTGTACATATTTTCGGGGTTCGGGGTTTGGCCCTCGGAGCTCGGAACTCAATGACTTGTGTAATATAATTGAACAATGGACATGTTGCATGCCGGTGTAGAAACAACAATACTACTAGGAACAAATGATGCTCCTGGCAGTATCTATAAATGTTGATAGGTCGCGCGTTGCCTAGTCTGCGTTGCTTGAGGAGACAAGTGCGTTCGACCCTAAAGGGGAGGTGAGTACAGCAAAGATCTAGAGGTATGCGCGGCAACGTGAAGCGCGAGAAAGCGCAGGTGCGCGCAAGGTACGAAGGCGCGGGAAAGCGCGCGCGCATAAGCGGTAATAAGAGAGACTAAGCTTAAGTGATAATATGATGCAATATAAGAAAAGAGAGATGCAAAGTGTAGACAAAATGGAGTTCTACTATGTACTGCTAAGTAAATAGTGGGTGATAACTAGTAAGTTAAAGGGAAAAAGTAAGGTAAATAATAGTATGTACTGCTGGCACTTATATAGCGCGCCTAAGCGCACTCATGCGGAGCCGAAGCGCTACCGAGTAGGTATGTAAAAATATATATGAGTGAGAAACTATGATAAAAATAAAGGTGGAACTATGCTAATAAAGGAAATGGAAATATACGCACTAGGGAGCTTGGTGGACAGTGGATGGATGCATCTGGATGGCTGGCGCTATAGGGCGCGCAAGCGCGGGAACGCGCGCGCGCATATACATCGTGAAGCGCGGGAATGGTGCGCGCATGGCGCGCGTTGCGCGGGAAAGCTGCGCGTCATATAGGAATCACTGTGGATGGTACACAGAGTGATGCTGCGAGTTGGTGCTGTATACTCCCTAGTGTAAAGCGCCATATCACACTATGAGATGCACGAGTCTCTACACCGGGTTTCGAGTTTTGGGTTTCGGCACTTGAAACTCGGTGATTTGTGCAACAAGTAAAAAATGGACATGTTGTGCACATATTTTTGGGGTTCGGGGTTCGGGTCTTGGACCTCGGACCTCAGAACTCAATGATTTGTGTGATGTAAATGAAAAATCAACATGTTGCACGCCAGGTTTCAAGTTTTGGGTTTCAGCACTCAAAACTCGGTGATTTGTGCAATGAGTGAAAAATGGACATGTTGTGTACATATTTTCGGGTCTCGGGGTTCGGGTTTCGGCCCTCGGAGCTCGGAACTCAATGACTTGTGTAATATAATTGAACAATGAACATGTTGCACACCGGGTTTCGAGTTTCGGGTTTCGGCACTTGAAACTCGGTGATTTGTGCAACAAGTGAAAAATGGAAATGTTGCATACATATTTTCAGGTCTCGGGGTTCGGGTTTCGGCACTTGGCACTTGGCACTTGGTTATTTGTGTGATATAAATGAAAAATCAACATGTCGCACACTGGGTTTCCAGTTTCACACTTTGGCACTCGAAACTCAGTGATTTGTGCAGTGAGTAAAAAATGGACATGTTGTGTACATATTTTCGGGTCTCGGGGTTCGGCCCTCGTAACTCTATGATTTGGGTTATATAAATGAAAAATCAACATGTTGCACACTGGGTTTCAAGTTTCACGCTTTGGCACTCAAAACTCGGTGATTTGTGCAACAAGTGAAAAATGGAAATGTTGCATACATATTTTCGGGTCTCGGGGTTCGGGTTTCGGCACTTGGCACTCGGAACTCAATGAATTGTGTAATGTACATGAAAAATGGACATGTTGCACACTGGGTTTCAAGTTTCACGCTTTGGCACTCGAAACTTGGTGATTTGTGCCGTGAGTGAAAAATGGACATGTTGAACAATGGGTTTCAGGGTCTCGGGTTTGAAAAATAGCATAATAACAACTTTCATGTTTTCATTATCATTTGCCTATATTGACTACCGAGTCTGATAAGAGACCCCTTGGATGATTCATTGCTCAATGAAATACTACCTGATTGGAAGTGTGCTGGTTATCAGATATTCATTTGTCGACTCCCGGGTCCTGGAACTTGGAAGTCGGTATGGTTGACCCAAATTTGGGTGGTCGGAACTTGGCATCTCATAGGGCAACACAAGCTTCACACCCTGGATTCCAAATTCTGTAAGACAACCTGTGCACCATCAAAGGCCATGTCAGGAGATCACCTGCTGCTCCGGGAACTCGGGAACTTTGATTTATTACCTCCTCTGAGTACGGTTGACCCAAAGGTTGGTAATCAGAACTTGGCTTCTCATAGGGTAACACAAGCTTCGCACCCCGGATTCCAAATTTTGCAAGACAACCTGTGCACCATCAAAGGCCATGTCAGGAGATCACCTGCTGCTCCAGGAACTTGGTAACTTTGATTTTATTACCTCCTCTGATTTGGTTGATGTACAACTACCTCAGCTCCATCGTGTTTACAATTATGATACACATGGGCCCACCCATCTATATTTTATACCACCCTTGGCCCACCCGTCTAATACAACATCCCATACAACACCCTCGGCCCACCGGTCTAATTAATATCCGTCTGGGCCCACCCATATAATACAATATTGTATAATACCCTCGGCCCACCCGTCTAATTTAATATGTGTCTGGGCCCACCCGTGAATGTGATAACAAAGTACCTACCCATCTATCTCATACACATCTACCTTAATACACCCATCTGCATAATATCCAGCTACCTCGGCCCACCTGTCTACCTAATATTCATGTACATCAGCCCACTCATCTACTCTATATATCTCCTGCATGGGCCCACCCGCCTCCATCGGGAATAATTTGCCTCCCGGCCCATCCGTCATAGTCGAGGATATTTTTATCATGGGCCCATGGTCCGCTGGCCCGTATCATATGGGATATTATGCACGTCCGTTCCCTCATATTATACGGAAATAGGTCACTGTAATATGTGTCAAGCTAACATAGAATGAATGATATACTTGCTGATCCCTTGCTTGTGGCCATATGATCTGAATGCTTCCTCCTCCTCAGTGGCAGCCTCCTCAGCTGTGGGCAACATCCAAATGAGATCCTTGACAATATCTCATAGGACATCAACAGCATCCTCGGAGATATTAACCCTTTCAGCCAGAAATTTATTGATAGATGGTGGCAGTATGTTGGGTGCAACAAGGACAGAGACAGTGTGTGGCTGTGGTTGTAGAATATCATCCTTGAGAAGGCTGGTACACCGGAGAAAGGTGGTAAGATTGAGAAATGACATGGTGGCAAGCTGATCATGTTGCTGCATGGCAGCAAAGAGGGACGTGATGTCCATGGCCCATGTGTTAGTATGCTGCCCCTGGCGGCAGTGGCAGTGGGTGAAGTGTGGTGTGACTAGTGGGAGAGGCAGGTATGTGATATCAGCCATGCTTGGGGGGTGCTGGCATCTTCAAACTCTGTCAGAGCATCGCCACTTGTACCAAGACTTGTGCCCAGACATAGACTTATACCAAGACTGGCCATTTCAGGAACGTCCTCAAAGTTGCAGTGTTTGAAATAGGTTTTGTATGTACATATTTGGCACTAAGTACTGGGATGAAGACTCACTACATACCGCCAATTGGTTTGGAGTCTGGGGTACATCATGATAGTGCCTTTGCTTGTCTTTACGCCCAACTCATGTCCGTTCCTACATATTTATTACATGATATCATCCAATCATTTATTAATGATAGCCTCCATAAAATAGCCTAACCCAAGTGCCATATTTCACAGGTAGAGTATCATCACTTTGGTCGCCCCATTTCAAGTACCTCTTAGGTTATATTATACCTATAAGGGTTTTCACCTAAGGGGTGCTTTTAGATGGTCTGGCTGATGTTTGTTGGTCTTTCCACAAGTGCATAGGGTCTAAAATAAAATATGTTGGGGATGGTCCAACGATCAAAATAATTTTTGTGTGGGAAAGACCACCAGCCAACATTGGACCATACATACATGGGATTTTCCCATGGTGGAGGGGTGTTAGGGGTCCTCTTACCACCCAATTTTCTGTGCCAAAAAATGAAAGTTTTGGGTGCATTCTTGGCACCTAATATGCAAGCTAATGGGTCACATAATGACTGTAATTACTATTAGATATGTCTATGAAATAGGATTAGAAAACACAAAATGATCATTCATTCACTGCCCCCCCCCTCAGCCCAGGATCTCTCCCTTCTAAAAATGATGATTTATTCATGCCCCCCCTCAGCCCGGGATCTCTCCCCTCTGAAAATGATCACACATCTACCTCACATCAATATATCTATAAAATCACCTACACCTACAGAATCATCACTCAGGGATTGCACTATTCAGATATTGACCTACTGATGCCTGGTCTCAGCTACTTGCCTATGCCTACAGAGTCATCACTCGGGGAGAGGGAAGGACAACAGTAGATGGGAAAGGTCTGTAATCAATTATGGGACAGACCATGGAGGAAGGGAAAAGCCCGTAATCAATTAAGGGAAGGACCATGGAGGATGGGATAGCCCCGCAATCAATTATGGGATGGACCACAGTGGATGGGACAGGCCCGTAATCACTTTTGGGAAGGACCACAGTGGATGGGAAAGGCCCATAATCAATTATGGGACAGACCATGGAGGAAGGGAAAGGCCCATACTCAATTAAGGGAAGGACCATGGAGGATGGGATAGCCCCGCAATCAATTATGGGATGGACCACAGTGGATGAGAAAGGCCCGTAATCAATTCAGGAAGGACCACAGTGGATGGGAAAGGCTCATAATCAATTATGGGAAGGACCATGAGGGATGGGATAGCCCCACAATTAATTCAGGGCAGGACCACAGTGGATGGGAAAGGCCCATAATCAATTATGAGAAGGACCATGAGGGATGGGATAGGCCCACAATCAATTACAGGAAGGAACACAGGGGATGGGATATCTTTGTAATCAATTATTGTCACCCTTGTCCTTAGGTAGATCTACGAGGTGACTCATGATGACATATGTGTCACTGCCGACTTCTGTGGTGTGCTGATTGGAGTGCAAGGCAGCATGTTATATGCAGCATGATTTTAAGTGTATTACATGGTGGAATTGTGGAGAACTTGTCTGATTCAGCATGTAATTACAGTGACATTGTCATAACACGATCTCAATGGTATGGGGTATAATATGGTGTATACAAGTGTGGATTAGCATGACTCGATGAAATGTTGATATCAAAGATATAATGATGGGGGGGAGGGGTGAAATTTCTGTAGCAGAAGCTTACTGGGCCATTACAAGAGTGGGGTGTGTGATATCCACTTAGACGTGAGAAGAAGTATATAGATCTGCCACCTATGGAATGACCATGCTGTCGTGCTAAAAATTGAAATATTGGTCAATCAATGGAAGTGAAGTATAGTATGACGTGCTCACCATGACAATGTCCGCATCAACATCCATACACCACTCCAATTCATCAGCCACCTGCGAAATAACCATGCTTTCATGCTAAGAATTAAAATATTCATCAATCAAACGAAGTGGAATATAGTAAGACATGCTCACCACGACAATGTCTGCATCAACATCCATACACCACTCCAATTCACCAGCCACCTGTGCAATATCCATGCTTTCAAGCTAAGAATTAAAATATTTGTCAATCAAATGAAGTAAAATATAGTAAGACATGCACACCACAACAATGTCTGCGTCAACATCCATACACCACTCCAATTCGCCAGCCGCATGCACAATATCCATGCTTTCAAGCTAAGAATTAAAATATCTGTCAATCAAACGAAGTGAAATATAGTAAGACATGCTCACCGTGACAAAGTCCGCATCAACATCCATATGCGCCTCCAATTCGTCATCTGGCTGATGGATTTCCTGTAGCAATATTAAGTGAGATTGCAAGAGTAAAGGTGGGACATACCATTATGACGTCTCCATCAACATCGAACAAGAAATTGGTTATGACGACCATACTCCCGACTGATTTCTCTTCAGGCTTCTGCGTTCCCTGCAGCGAAAGATGTCAAATGTAAATTCACAATAACATTGTATGAACCACATATGTTGCGCTTTCAATCATTTCTTATAGTTAGTGTAGACAAGAGATGAAGATAATTGTTGAAGGTAGCGAAATGGGATGTATTCTGGAAGTTGATATCGAAGTCTAAAGCATAAGTCGGTAAGCAAACAAAGCTAGATTTGGATCACGGTAAGATTGTGCAAGGACTGAGCAATTTTGAGCATTTATTAAAATTATTGGGTCCTCGCACAACATCAATTGTTAAAATACACATTTCGAACATAAGATGAGGCCTACGTGTACCATAACTAACTCGAAGCATATGTGATGAGACAAACATGAGAATGCATAAGAAAAACATAACGAAAACATAGGCATAAGGAAACATATGAAAAAACATACAAAAGGAATAAGCATAATGAGTAGACATTGCCAGAAGTGGACAGTAACAAGGGCTGCAAAGTTAGTAATACTCATCTTCCTCGATGATTAGACGGCGATCAGGAGATCTGACAGTTGGATGATGATGGCGGCGCTGCAAGGAACTGGCAAGGGAGATTGGTACAACAGAGGAACTGGCACGGGAGGTCTGCACAGCAGAGGAACACAATGGCAAATGAGAATGGGAGGTGCTGACAATTTGTGACTGGGCCCACCCTGAATGTATATGGGAACTGATACAATAATATGACAGTTAGCAAACATATGTAGAAGTCAGGGTATAGCAACACACTTGTCATGCACCCTGACACGGTGCCTCCCCTCTACCATTTCATGCTCCAAGTCTTCAGTCTGCAGAGCAGATTGTCACAACCCAATAACGAATTAACGCTGGGCAGAGACTAGGACTCAAACAACAGAATAATCACAAAGAGAAGATAGGCAGCAGGTACGTCTTGGTATTGCTCACTTGGAGATACAAGAGGTTTGAACTAAAGAACTACTGACTACGATGAGCTACCTATATACACATATTGAAACTGAGATCGAAACTGAGTATGAACTAATTAACCAATCAGAATAATTAAAGGTATTGTACGATTCTATATATAACTATGATGTCATAACATGTGCCGCAGCCGCAGTAAGACTCTGGAACATTCCAAGAGTGTCGCGAGGCATGACGTCAACATCTTCGGCATTGTCCGATAGATCACGTGACTCTGGTAATTCTACAATAGACGCAATAATAGGAACTTCTTCAACAGTAAACACATTCTTAGGAACAGGCGCTGTGACTGGGCGCTTAAAGGACTTAGAATTTAGGAATGAATAATGGTTTGTATTTGGAACTCGTGACATTACCCCCTCTCTAGGATGAGCGTCATCGCGAATGAAACTAGGACGAATAAACTTTTTGCGCCATTCCAAAAACTCTTGGGTTTCGAACACCGATTTGTTAATTTTGCGGGGATTCAATGCCTTCGGATTTTGCCGGTGAAATTCTTGAACTTTCATCCGTGCATTCTCAAGGTTTTCCTCAGGTTCCCATGTCGCTTCTTCTATCGGATATCCTTCCCACTCTACTAGGTATTGGAGTTTTGATCTGTGCAGTCTCGAGTCTAGGACTTTTCGTACTATCCATTCGGAATCACCTTCTGATAAGATCTCTGGCGGCGGACGATGATGTGGAAGTCTTTGGACTAAGGTCGAGGGGAAATGCGGAGTGAGTAATTCTACGTGGAATACCGGATGAATCTGATATTTTGCTGGAAGGTTCAGGCGGTAATTTACATCACCCATCTTCTCTAGCACTTCAAACGGACCAAGTCGTCGATTGGAGAGTTTCTTATTTGGTCTTTTCTGACAGATATTTTTGGCATTGAGCCAGACCAGATCTCCTTTCTTGAATTGTGGTGCGTCTTTTACTCCTCTATCATAGAATCTTTTCATCCGCTCATTCGCCATTCGCAGCATACTTTCTGCGTCTTCCTTTGCCTCTTTCATTACATCCACTCGTTCATCAGCTGCAGGTACTTTAGAATTGGAAATTGGTGAAAAAGTAAACTCTGGATCGTATCCGTAGAGTACTTTGAATGGACTATGACCCGTTACAGTGACAGAGTTATTGTGAGCAAATTCTGCTATTGGAAGCCAGTCTACCCAATCATTTTGGTGGTAAGACGTGGACATTCTCAGATATTGCTCTACTTCTTGATTGATTCTCTCTGTTTGTCCGTCTGTCTGAGGATGATAAGCCATCGACATGTTCCATTTTATGCCTAGGTGTTTCGACACTTGTCCCATAAACTTGGAGACAAATTGTGTTCCTCTGTCCGATATCACCTGTTTCGGAGTTCCATGGTGTTTCCATACGTTATCTAAGAAAAGTTTCGCGATTCCTCGAGCGTCAACTTCCTTTTTCGTAGGCATGATGTGCGTTTGTTTCATATATCGATCAACGACAACAAAAATAGAATCGAACCCTTCGCTTTTAGGCAAATCTACTATCAAATCACAAGTGATTGATTGCCAAGGTCCCGCTGGTATTTCATTTGGTTTAAGCGGGCCATGTGGTTGCGTTGGGTGAATCTTCGTTGCTCTGCATCTATCACAGCCATCTACGTAATCGTGGACATACTTCGTCATTGAAGGCCACCAATAATTTCTGGAAATCAATTCTAAGGTTTTGGCATGTCCAGGGTGTCCAGCCGGTGGAGAGTCGTGAAACAACTCCAATATCTCTCGGCGGATCTCTTTATCATTTGGAACGTAAACCAGTCCTCGGAATAACACCAATCCATCCTCCACATTCCACTCTTCGACTCCTCTACGTAATTGTACCGGTGCTGCTTTTAGCATTTGTAGCGCTTTAGCGACTTCAGGCTCTCATTCTGTGCATTGCCTTATCTTTCTCAGCAATTGTTTTTCTCCTTGCACTAGAACTTGACCTCTTTTAGCAGCTTTTACAGTAAAAAACTCCGGTTTTAACAAAATACGATCAGAATTGTCGTTTTCTACCCCCCCTCTGTGGTCTTCTCTCTGAGAAAGCTTATCGGCCTTATCGTTGACTACACCAGGCTTATGTTGGAGCGTAAATTCATACTCCGCCAGGAACAGACTCCATCTGGCTTGCCTTCTTGTCAACTTTTGGCTCGTCATAAAGTACTCGAGATTTTTATGATCCGTCCAGATCTCCACATGGTGAGGCTTTCCCTGCACATAGTGCCTCCACTCCTCCAACACTCGAATGATTGCGAGTAACTCTTTGTCATGGATGTCATAATTTCTTTCTGCATCGTTCATTGACTTGGAGTAATACGCCACGGGGTGCCATAGGTCATCTTCCATCAGTTGAGATAGAACCGCTCCAGTTGCATAATCAGAAGCATCGGTTTCTATTTTCATCTTTTTCTCAACGTCAGGCATTACTAGGATCGGAGCTGATGTAAACCTTGACTTCAGTTCATCAAAAGCATCTTGCTGTTTCTCCGTCCAGTCCCATTTGACATCCTTTCATAATAAATCATTCATTGGTCTAGCAATGTCCGAAAACCCGAAGATAAATCTTCTGTAGAAGTTGGCAAAGCCCATAAATGCTTGGATATCTTTAACGCATTTGGGTACAGGCCATTTCATTACTCCTTCTACCTTCACAGGGTCCATTCGAACACCACCCTTCTCCACTATCAACCCGAGGAACTCGACTTCTGTCTGTTCGAAGTTACACTTTTCAGGCTTCAGATACAGATCATTTTATTTTAGTCGTTTCAGTACCTCTTGTACAACTTTTCAGTGTTGTTCTCTATTGCCATTCGTGAATATGAGGATATCATCGATATAGACAACTACGGTCTTTCCATCAATTAGATCTCTGAATATCTTGTTCATCATAGTTTGAAACGTGGCAGGGGAGTTTGTTAGGCCGAAGTACATTACGGTTGGTTCATGGTGACCAAACGGCATTTTGAAGGCCGCCTTCCACTCATCTCCTTCTTTCATGCGAATATTATTGTACCCTCATCTTACATCCATTTTGGAGTACATCGTGGCACCGGTTAAAGCATCAATTAAATCTTGAGATCTCGGTAGCGGATATGCATTTTTAACCGTCTTCTCATTGAGCTTTCTATAGTCCATCACCGGTCTTAACTTGCCATCTTTCTTGGCCACAAAGAAGAAAGGTGCTGCCACTGGAGATTGTGAATTTCTTATACGTCCCAGTGCAGTCTCGGCTTTTAACCAATCTTTCAAAGTGTCCATCTCCTTGGGTGACAAAGGATAGGGTTTCGCATTCGGCGGAAGATCGCCATCATCTTTAAGATCTATCGCATGATCCCATTCCTTTCTTTCAGGGAAGCGCTTAGATTCTTCTTCTGAGAAAACTCCCAGGTACTCGTGAAGCCAATCGGGAACCATCTCTTCGACTGATTTCTTCACCTTCATTGCTTCTTCTGCAACCTTCTGCTCCGTGGCAACCGAGGCTTTATACTTGATCCATTCTCCAGGATACTCTTCGTCTTCTATTTCCTCAACTGTCGCCCTCTTCATCGCCATGTCTTCTTCGTCATCCTCTTCTGTGGGAATCAGATCTGGCACTTCTTCTATCTTTTTTTGTTCTTTTCTTTTTTCTTTATTTTTTTTGTCTTTGTTCTTTTTTAGTAATACATTTAACCGGGCAATGAGAAAGTGCAAAACGTCCAGCGTTCCAATCTATTTCCGGGTTGTGATATCTTAGCCAATCTATGCCAATAATAACATCATCGCTTCCTAAGTCCGTAACCATGAAGGCTGCTTGATCCTCAACATGGTCACCGATCTTTAGACCTAGTTCAGCGTAATGAGTCATCGATCCAGCGGCATTTAACGAGCCATCAATATTTTTAACCGGAATGGGCCTTAATAATTTATGGCACCGGACTTCGTTCTTTTTCACAAACTTCTCGCTAATAAATAATGTCGATGCACCGCAATCTACCAGTGCTTTCACATCTGCTTGTCGGTTCTTTCCCTTCAACATGATCGGAATGTAAAAATGTTCAGATTTGGATTTAATATATACTTCTGATACATCCGAGAACGTAGATAGGATGGAGAAACGATTGTTCGGGTCTAAGTTCACAGACTTTGACTTCGACCCTTCTAAAAACCCTTGCCTTCTTTGGAGCTGACCCAAGCTTTGAACCAACTCAGAATAGGGTCTTCTTCTTTTGGCACTGTAGTAGCCTTCACCTGCACTTTTGGTGCAACTGCGTCTTTGCAGTTTCTAGCCATATGGCCTTCGCCTCCACAGCGGTAACATTTGAAGGATCCAGTCCTTCCTTGAGGTTTTGGAGCACCTCGCTGTTTGTTGGCGTCGACGTCCATGGCGTCGCTTTCCCTGCTTGGACCAGGTTTGTATTCAGGGGTCCTGGGGCCTTGTTTAGGGGTCCACCAGGTCATCTTCTTCTTGTCCGCGTCTAGCTCTTCGAAGTTGCGTCCGATTTGGATCGCATGTTCCACCAGTTTCTTCATGGTGTTTTTGTCCTCGTAACGGACATGAGCGAGCTGTATTTTGACACGGTCTTGAAGTCCCAATCTGAACTTCTGTCGCTGGTCATAGTCGGAAAATGAAGTGTGTGCAGCCTTTTGTCTGAAAGCGGCTGCGTACTCTGGAACTGAGGAAGATCCTTGTCTAAGGGATTCCAGTTCTCTGATCACTTTTCCTTCACGATCTTCTTGCCCCCACATGGCTTCTAAGTCTTCCAGGAATTTCTCCACGGTCAACTTTTCATCTCTGGTCTTTCCAAGTTTAGTGATGTAGGGTTGCGCCCATTTGGCTGCAGTTCCTTTCATGAATGAAAGCATCACCCCGATCCTTTGGCCTTCTTGGATGTTGGGCCATTGCGCAGTGTATAGCGCTACTTGGGATATCCAGACCATGAGTTCTATGGAGTCTTTTTCTCCTGTGAAGTCCTGGGGTTTGGAGTACTTGATGGAGGGGGAAGAGTTCGATGAAAGTAAGCTAGCTCCTGCAGAGCCGAATGATGGTTGTTGAGACTGTATTTTCACAGTCTCGTTTTCTTGCATTTCTAGGCGTACGCCCAGAAGTCTGTTTGCTTCTTCTAGAGCCGCATTCTTGGCTTCTAGTTCCGCAATCCTGACCCTAAAGCTGTCTGCTTGGTTTGCAAGTGACATGTGGATGTACTCGACAATTTCTTGTGGAGTAGATGGTAGTACCACCGGTGCAGGAGTGTTTGGTAATTCAGACATAGTGCCAGTTGTGTTCTGGAACCCAATTCACTGATGTCTGTTGAAGAGCTGCTCGTAAGGGCTCTTCCGAAAGGGAATGATGGTGAAAAGAGAAAGTTATGTAATGAAAAACTGAAGCGGTCCCCGATATCTGATCGGATCTACCACATACTTCAGGATCAAAGGGTTCTTTAATCAACCCAACCGATGCTTCCCTAATGCTAAAAAGAATACGTAACTATACTCGATCGAGTGGGAAAAACTAGGGACAATGCAATCTCCATTCTGAGGGTACAAGCCTAGGACAAGTTATCACTCTTCCAGCCGAAGCTTACAAGTGCAAGTCTCACTAGGGTATGTCTCTAAATCCTCGTAGGTCGAAAGCACGGTTTGTCATCTAGACAGTTCCGCTATTGACTTGAAACGAATGCCTACGTGCGTATGAAGAAAGGGATAGGTAAAATGAAACTATAGTAACATTGAGCAGGCAGGGTTTTGGGCCAGCACTCAAAGTTGCAGTGACACGCCTAATGTCGTGAACACCTCCATATACTGGCGGCTGCGGTAAGACAGGGCCTGGTATAGGACTACTAACTAAAAAAGATGATAGGTAGAGAAAATGCGCTCAAATGAGCAAAGGGATGAAATCAAAAAGGTCGCGGCGGTTAAGCCGGGCAAAAGTATAACGGTTCTGTTTTGGCTGATGGTGTGAAGATGACTTCCAACATGACCAGGCGAAAGAGAAAGAGATGCGAGAGTGTAACGCGAGAGTCGGAGTCTCCTATAGTTCAAACCTAATGTCACAACCCAATAACGAATTAACGCTGGGCAGAGACTAGGACTCAAACAACAGAATAATCACAAAGAGAAGATAGGCAGCAGGTACGTCTTGGTATTGCTCACTTGGAGATACAAGAGGTTTGAACTAAAGAACTACTGACTACGATGAGCTACCTATATACACATATTGAAACTGAGATCGAAACTGAGTATGAACTAATTAACCAATCAGAATAATTAAAGGTATTGTACGATTCTATATATAACTATGATGTCATAACATGTGCCGCAGCCGCAGTAAGACTCTGGAACATTCCAAGAGTGTCGCGAGGCATGACGTCAACATCTTCGGCATTGTCCGATAGATCACGTGACTCTGGTAATTCTACAATAGACGCAATAATAGGAACTTCTTCAACAGTAAACACATTCTTAGGAACAGGCGCTGTGACTGGGCGCTTAAAGGACTTAGAATTTAGGAATGAATAATGGTTTGTATTTGGAACTCGTGACACAGATTCATAATGGGGCCGAGTCCATTTTCGAATATCTGGATTGTACATTGGCATAACATTGTTATATGCATGTTGATGTCACAGTGCTCCATTGTGGGACGGCTTGTATCAAGAGCGGGACTGGACATGCGAATAATCTGAGGTTGTCACAGGAGTTGATGAGTGTGAAATAGGAGGGGGAGATGAGAATTGTGAAGATGGCATTGACAGTGACGAAGGCAGGAGGTCATCAAAGACTCGGTTAGTAGGTCGACGCAAGTGTGGGGCTTCCTGGGGTGGCGATGAAGGCAGGAGATCCTCATGGATAAATTGGTTGGTATATTGATGAGAGCTCGGAGCTGCATTGTTGAAGCACAAAGCTGTCTGATTGGAGCACAAAGCTTCCTGATTGGGGTGTGAAGCTCCCATAGTTGAGCATGAAGCTCCAATAGTTGAGCGCGAAGCTGCTGAATTAGAGATTGCGGGTTTTTGGATTACCTCATTGGTGCAGTGTCTAGGAGTGTCGTCTTGTGGAAGGTCCTTGATGAACTTCTCCGAGTCTTGGAGGGTGTGAACGACCCTACCGTCAGTGTCGATGACGAGCGGGATGAGACACACGTTTGAGGCCTGCATCTCAAGAGCAAGAATATCACCTGTGGTTGTGATATCAGCTTGTGTATGATTTGCAGTATCCAATACGTACTTTCAGGCCATCTGCTGATATGCAATACTACGCTTGGCTCCTTTGCAATCGGCTCCTTCTTCCTTCCCTTGTCACCTGACTTCTTGGACTCGCCTTTGCGCTTCTTCACCTTCGCTGCCTCTGCCTCGCTGTTGTCATCATCATCATCAAGGCCTAACTTGGCCTCATACATGGCTCCAAGATGAATCCTGAGATATGGAGCAACCAACGCATGTAGTTGACTTGCAGATAGAGCCTTGAGATCAAAATCGGGGCCAGGCGGGGGAACACCGGCAGGCCAATCATGTATGCAAAGCTTCTCGGCATACAGGATGTCCAACATGGTCAGCCACCTACTGTTCAAGGTTTTGAGAGGGTGGCCGGCCTCAGCTATACAACATATAGTCAGTACAGTAGAAATACACTGCAATTAAACGAACGTACCAAATTTCTCACTGATCATTATGGGTGCCACCTTTCTGTTCCTATCCCTGGCTGGCTTGCTGTTACACAAGAGGGTACTGTTCGGAGTGGTGGAAGAAGGGGGAAGCAAACTGAAAGTCTTGCCTTTGGCATGTGTGGTGTAGAAGAGAAATGGGAAGTGGGGGTAATATGAGTAGTATGAGATAACTCAAGTAGTCCTCGATGAGTGAGATATATGTTGGCCCAAGGGGATTGCTACTGAGAAGGTTCCTCTAAGTGTATAATATGGACGGAAACACTGAACCGGGTGCCTTAGTCAAGCCTGGTAAGGCACACAACGATGAGTGAAGTGCGAGTGGGTGAAGGTGACGTGAAGTGCTGATGAGCGACAGTGGCCAATGATAAGCGACGGCGCGCGACTTATAACGGAGGTGTGCGCTAAGCAGTAGCAGTGCGTGCATGTGGGTGGTGGAGTGCAGTGACTTTTAATGAGTCAGAAAACTAATTGGCAGAGTCTCTAGTAATGTACGGCGGCGGTGCTTGTATTGTACTTAGATACTTTAGATTTAGAGGGAGAACTTAGACTTATAGTCCAATGACGTGCGGGCAGAAAGATCCCATTATACAATTTAGGCACATGTATATATACTAAGTAATGTTAAGTGCTGTCAAGCACTAAAGCGAACTGAGAAGTGAAGCAGACATGAGATAATATGTAATAAAAGGGTCCATAATGGAAAATATACGAAATATGTCCATAAGCGCCGGAGATATGTCAGAATCAATGAAAATAGAATCGGAATACGCACCAATGAACCAAACAAACATGGAATAGATGGACGGAGGACGGGCGACGGAACCGAAGATGCACACGCCGACACGCGACCAATGCGTGACCAAAGTGCTAGTGCGCGTGAGTGGCCAATGAAGCGCTTGAGTGCGCTAGGTGAGATATGAGTCATGCTATATTAGGAATTGATTGGGATGATGGGAATTTAGATGGCTGCAAGGCCACAGAGATATTAGTCTCTACAGTGGCCTCCAAGTCTTTGTACCTGGAAGTAATTTAGCACTGACACCTATAAATCATACAAGACGCACTTAAGGATTGTGGTGAGCTCATCTAGCCAACACTTGATATCCAGTTGGTGTGAGTTGATGAGGGCCTTGACCATGTCAGAGCTGGCGAACAGTCCTGATGCTTGGCAGCCTGCCTCTTTGTCACCAGGGAATATTGCCACACCAGCAATGTGAATGCCATGGGTGCGATGCCAGTATGCAGCCTTGATCATAGTTAGTCTCTGGATCAAGATTGCATGAATACAACACTTACCGATTTTGTGAAAGCATCACGAACAGCCATCATCAGACCTGCAGCAGATCGTGATGTAAGGTCCTCGGTTGAACCCGCTGTAGGGATTCATTTCTGGCTGGGCTGGTAGAGACTGTTTTTACCTTACCTTATGTTGGCATTTTTGTAGCTTACATAAGCAAGTTATCTTTTCACTAGTTACCAGTATAAGTCTGAGAGATCAGCAAGTTTTCATGATATTTCCTCTCCTCTGAGCCTTGAGCCTGGTCCAGAAACCCTTTAGGGTCGAATAGCAGCTAGGTTCTGCAAGACCCAACATTGTTCAGACTCACCATCTGAATTGTTGTACCTTCACCATGACAGCACGATCCCAGTTCTCCAGGATCTCCTTCCACACTGATGAGTGCTGAGGGTCACCATGTGGGTGGGCCTTGTAATGAGCTCATTGCTTCACCTTCCAAGCCTTAAGATCTGCTGCAAAAATCGTTTGCATTAAGAAATCAATAACAAAGACTGCAACACACCTGGCGACACAGCTCCCAATACTCCTTTAGGCGGGGGGCAGGTGACTGCAAACCACATCTGATGTTGGTTCCACGGAGACTCCTTCCAGGTTGCCTTCATCATCAACCCAGCTTCGATGAGGATTGTCCTTGCACTTTTCCCATATTCTTTTCCGATTGCTCTGGCGGCTTCCATCATATTCTTTCCAAGCTCCTGTGCCTTCGAGATACCTGCTTGAGGTATTCTCCCTTTGATCTTCACAAAGTCTTTATCATCCTCATCTTTGCTGTCATTGTGTTCATTGACGTCCACCATCACCTTGGACTTTTGCTTTTGTCTGGCTGTCAACTGAGATGGAGATGGGGGGTTGCTTGCAGGGGAACCATCGTCATTGTCACCATCGTTCGCAGCAGCATCAACAGCAGCTCGTTGTGCTTTCTTGCACAGCTCTTGGTCGGCAGCCCAGTCACTGTCAGATGGAGAGCTCTCTTCACCATCATTACGATCAGGTGCATATGATGTGACACCACATGACCTACATGGGCGGCCAGTAGCAGGAATAGCAGAATTATTTCCACCATCCTCTGCGCTGTGTGACTCAGCATGGGCAGCTGTATGCATGATTAGTTAAGGTATTGGATATAGACGAATGTCTATGGCTCACCTGAAGTATCCTTGCCATGATCCTTGCTTCCATGCCCTGTGTTGTATGACTCAGTAGGAGTAGCTGTATTCACAATTAGTGAAGCTATGAAATACGAAAGAGTGACTATCTCACCTGAAGTCCCACCATTGGGGTCATTTGATTGAACTTCAGAGGCAGGATTTGGATCCTTGCTCACAGTAGTGCTGTGTGCTTCAGTAACCAATGCAGGAGCTGCTAGGCAACAAGTCAATACAGGGCATTCACACCACAATAAAAACTGTACTTGTTTCTATATTGCCATCTTGGGTGTCGGTGCATATTTCTTCATCTGCAAGGGAGGCGAATTCGGCACATGTCAATGAAGTGCCATCAGCAAGTTGAACATGAGACAGGCAGGATTGTTGATCTGTAGCAACATCAGGGGTCTTTGGAATCACTGATGAGTGCCTTGAGAAACTGGCCTCAAAAATCCCCTCCTCAGCAGATGAGGTCATGGGGCCAGAACATTTGGACCATGCAAGCGGACAAGGCTTGGGTGGGGGATGACGACGAGTTATAGATGACTAAGAAGTAAGTGGGGACACCATCATATTCACAGATATAGCTTACCTCTTGTGGATTGTTGTCATTGTTGTTGTTGTCGACCATAACACTCTTAGGCCCAGGGCGACGACGAGGGTGGGGGTGTTTTCGAGGCTGGATGGACTGAAGTAATGAAAAATCAATCATGGTTGACAAACTTTGAAAAAAAAAATACTTGCCTGGATGGTGTCTGCATCAGACTCAGTATGAATGTCCACTGCCTTGCTGCAAGTCTTGACATGACAGGAGTCAGCTACTACAGACGTCAAGAAGATAAAAAGAATACCTTGGGTTCATCAGGCAGAGGGGGATGCTTGACATAATGACCTGAGCGGGTAGTAACAGTAGGCATTTTCAAGAGAAATGATAGTGTTCCTATGATCACGGAGATATGTGGAATACAAGTTGAGAACTCAAAGTTTGCTCAACAATATCTAGTCGACATGAAGTCAGACAATGTATGGATAGTAGAAGATGGTGAACTGCAAACAATAGTGGATTGAGAAAGCGGAATTTGACGCACTCGGACTTGAGAGACTTATTACCTTTATAGTTTGAAGTGTGGACGTTGTTGCCATAAATGCTAGGGTACATCACTGAAGCTAAACCTGGTTAGCGCTAAATAATAGAAAAAAGATCGACCTTGGCCCTACTGGAATTTAATGGTGGATCAGAGGTGGTGGCTACATACAGTGCCCAATCCTTTAGTCTGAGACTGACTAAAATGGAACGAGTGTATCACTGGCTGGGAGATGAGCCAATGAGAACTGTATCTGGCAGCCGAGGAAAGTTAGCGGACAGATCAGTGGTAGTGAGCACATACAGAGCAACACTCGGATCTCATTCCAGATTTGCATCCAAGACAGGAGAGGTCAAGGCCCACTGATATACAACCCTGATGGCAAGATTGGCCAATGAAAGACTCAGCTGACCCTGACTAATACAAAAATGAGCAGGACGGATCTGACTGATTGGCTAAACCTAACTGTTTTGAGAACTTATATTTTGAGAAGACAAATTGCTGGTCAGTCAGCAGTCAGAGGCACACCCAACCCTGTCGGTTGCTTAAGAGCAAGTCAGATGCTAATTGTGCAGCGGAACATGTAAAATATACCTTGTTGAGCACCAGCCACTAGCAGATGAACATCAAGAGATGCGAAGGGTGCTTGTTTCCTAAGAATAAATCAGGATTTTATAATATGGTAACAAGGTAAGTTATATGTACAGTTTGGCGAACAGATGGGCGAGTAAGTGTGAGGTGGCTATTCATGTGCAAATACTTGTGACATTGATCAAATCAGTTGGACGATAGTGGTATCCTAAACAGTCATGTCTATGCGCTTGTCGCAAATGAATAAAGTAAATACACTCACCAATTGGCAAAGTCTTAACAGATTGTCGAGTAGTGTAGCTGGGTGGTTGAAGGAAAATGATATCCTCTGTTGACGTGTGAATGGAATGTCATTATATGAATGAAGTGCAAATGCGACTCACCGATGTCGTAGATATATGCATGAGATGAGATTTGAAAGTGGTGTAAAGTGATGAGGGCTATAGTGGGTAAAGTGCAATGTGCGTCAGGAGACATTGTAGATCAAAGATATCAAAAACTCACCAATGAGATTGACAAGTGAAAGGTGAATGATTGGCACATCTGAAATATGAGGAGCCCCTTCAGTGACAAATTCCGTATTATACGGGCCAGCTGATCATGGGCCCATGTTGTGTATATTCTCGATGATGACGGATGGGCCGGGACACATATTATTTCCGATGGAGACGGGTGGGCCCATGTATGCCAATGATATATATATCCTTGATGTTGATGGATGGGCCAGGGGAATATGATCATTCATGGAGATGGGTGGGCCCATCTGGGTAATATGTAGAGTAGGATATTATAGACAGCTGGGCTGAAGAGAGATGTAAGGCAAATATTGTTATATAGATGGGTGGGCTGACGTGGGTGTATTACATATATGGGTGGGCCGAGGTAGGGGAATATTACATAGACGGGTGGGCTGACATAGGGTGTATTACATATACAGGTGGGCCGACATGGAATGTATTACATATATGGGTGGGCCGACGAAAGGGATATCAAATAGACCGGTGGGCCGAGGGTGCTATAAAATATTTATTACATAGACAGGTGGGCCGAGGTGGGGTATAATTATATAGACGGGTGGGCCAACATAGGATGTATTATATAGACGGGTGGGCCAACATAGGATGTATTACATAGACGGGTGGGCCAACGTGGGGGATAATACATAGATGGGTGGGCCGACAGGGGTGTATTACATATATGGGTGAGCCTAGATATGTTCCATCAAGACATACAGCTGATGTAGTCACCAGCAAATCAAACACATAGTATACATGTACACTATGAGTGCATATACCTACCATCGACCACCAAATCTAAACCCCTAAGCACAAAAACATGAATCGACCATGTGTGGCATTGACCAATAATCCAGGACTGAAGTGGAAAAACCCCACACCTGAACCCTGGTGGGCAACAAATCCTATTTCTAAGCATGGACACCAGAAGCACAACACTCACAAAAATATATATGTCAAATTTTCAGTGCCAAACCCCAAACCGAGATGTACCAACCCCCGAACCTCGAGACTGCCGGGTCTCAGGTATCGGGTGTCCAGAACCCGGAACTCGGGGAAATTTGGGGAGATCAATACAATTTAATTTACAATCGAGTTGATTGACAACACATTGACTTACCCATGTTTGCAATATATTTTTGTTTAGACATACCGAGTTCCGAGTTCCGGACCTCCGAACCCCAAAACCCGAGACTGCTGGGTCTCAGGTATCAGGTGTCCGGAACTTGGAACTTGGGAAAATTTGAGGAGATCAAAACAATTTGATTTACAATCAAGTTGATTGACAAACACATTGACTTACCTATGTTTGCAATATATTTTTGTTTAGACATACTGAGTTCCGAGTTCCGGACCCCCGAACCCCGAAACCCGAGACTGCCGGGTTTGAATGAAACATTTTTGAAAGATGTCTCATATCAAATGTTAAGTCCTGAGTTTCGAATTTCGGGTTTCAGGACTCCATGTTTCAGGACTAGGCACTCCCGAAACCTGGAAGTTGAAACTTGGGACTTGACATTTGATATGAGACATCTTTCAAAAATGTTTCATTCAACCTTTCATATATTCATACACATTTTACCAACCCCTGAACCCCGGAATTGTGGACTGCCGGGTCTCGGGTTTCGGGGTTCGGAGGTCCAGAACTCAGAACTCGGTATGTGTAAACAAAAATATATTTCAAACATGGGTAAGTCAATGTGTTTGTCAATCAACTCACTTGTCAATCAAATTTTATTGATCTCTCCAAATCTCCCCAAGTTCCGAGTGCCAGGACCCCCAAACCCCAAACCCTGAGACTGCCGGGTCTCGGGGTTCGGGGGTCCGGAACTCAGTATGTAGAACAAAAATATATTTTAAACATAGGTAAATCAATGTGTTTGTCAATCAACTTAATTGTAAATCAAATTTTATTGATCTCCCCAAATTTCCCAAGTTCCAAGTTCCAGGACCCCCGAACCCCGAAACCCGAGACCCGGCAGTCCACAATTTCAGGGTTCAGGGGTTGGTAAAATGTGTATGGATATATGAAAGGTTGATTGAAACATTTCTGAAAGATGTCTCATATCAAATGTCAAGTCCCAAGTTTTGATTTCCGGGTTTCAGGACTCTGGGTTTCGGGACTCAGTACTCTTGAAACCCGGAAATCGAAACTTGGGACTTGACATCTGATATGAGACATCTTTTAAAAATGTTTAAACCAACCCTTCATCTATCCATACACATTTTACCAACCCCCAAACCCCGAAATTGTGGACTGCCAGGTTTCGGGGTTCAGGGGTCCGGGTGTCCCAGAACTCGGAACTCGGAATTTGGTATGTAAGACAACACAAATATCTTTCAGGGTTCAGGGGTTAGTGAAATGTTTATAGATATATGTAGGTTAATTCAAACATGTCTGAAAATTTTTGTTCATCTCAAATGTCAAATCCTGAGTTCCGGGCTTCGGGACTCGGCACCCGGCACCTGGCAGTCAGGGTTGGGGGTTCGGCACTGAAAATTTGACATTCGGGTGTTCAGGTTTTGGGTGATATTTAAATCAACAACTTTGAGTTCTGCCAAAGCGTGAAACTTGAAACCCAGTGTGCAACATGTTGATTTTTCATTTGTATCACACAAATCATTGAGTTCCGAGTGCCAAGGGCTGAACCCCGAACCCCAAGACCCCAAAATATGTACACAACATGTCCATTTTTCACTCACTGCACAAATCACTGAGTTTCGAGTGCCAAAGCGTGAAACTGGAAACCCAGTGTGCGACATGTTGATTTTTCATTTATATCACACAAATAACCAAGTGCCAAGTGCCAAGTGCCGAAACCCGAAGCCCAAGACCCGAAAATATGTATGCAACATTTCCATTTTTCACTTGTTGCACAAATCACCGAGTTTCGAGTGCCAAAGCATGAAACTTGAAACCCAGTGTGCAACATGTTGATTTTTCATTTATATCACACAAATCATCGAGTTCCGAGTGCCGAGGGCTGAACCCCGAACCCCGAGACCCGAAAATATGTACACAACATGTCCATTTTTCACTCACTGCACAAATCACCGAGTTTCAAGTGCCAAAGTGTGAAACTTGAAACCCAGTGTGCAACATGTCCATTTTTCATGTACATTACACAATTCATTAAGTTCCGAGTGCCGAATGCTGAGACCCGAACCCCGAGACCTGAAAATATGTATGCAACATTTTCATTTTTCACTTGTTGCACAAATCACCAAGTTTCAAGTGCCGAAACCCGAAACTCGAAACCCGGTGTGCAACATGTTCATTGTTCATTTACATTACACATATCATTGAGTGCCAAGGGCCAAATCCTAAAACCCGAAGCCCAAAAACATGTATGCCACATGCCCATCTACTCATTGCACAAATCACCAAGTGTCAAGTGCCGAAACCCGAAACCCGGTACTTCAAATGGACATGGACTCTATATTTGTATGTATTATCCATTGGTGTAGGGTTGAAATAACTTGGGAATTGTATTTGTCAATGCTCGGTACTCGGTAGTTGGTAGTTGGTGGTTGGTAGTCAATATAGGCAAATGATAATGAAAAAATGAAAGTTGTTATTATGCTTAACTTCCTTACCAAAGGTTGTAGTCCGAGTCTAGGGGAGTGTATTGGTAGTCTTTTCTTGTCTATCAGTTATCATTTAACCAAGATATAAGCTAAAGAAATCTGAAACATCGGTGATAATGAAAAATGAAAGTTATTATT